AACTCTTCCAACCTGTCTCGTACTACCATTGCTTTACTGTGGATAGTGTAAACAATAAAATCATCGGCAAACCCTAACGCCCTCGAAGAGCCACTAAGCTGGTTCAAATCAAATAGGTTTAACAAGTCGCTAATAAATATATGAAATAAAATAGGGGAGTTTACAGTTCCCTGCTGCAACCCTTCCCTAATATTGAATATAATGGTAGATTTGTTGTCCCCTATACATGTAATAAATTTTTTATCTATTATCATGTCTAGAATTAAAAAGATTAAGCCTTTTGGGAACATTTTTTTGTCGAGTCTGTATAGAAGACCGTTTATCCAAACTGTATCAAATGCGTTAACCAAATCAAGCAGGACAGCCCCTACCATTTTGCCCTTGTGTAGATTATCATTCACGTCGCTTAGGAATTTATGAATGGCATGAACCGTCGAGTGCCCCCGCTTGAACCCGAATTGCAGCTCCGGAATTACCTTTTTTTCTTTACAAAACGATGAAATAAGATCGTTTATCACCACCTCATATACCTTACTGAAGTTAGAAGTAAGGCTAATGGGCCTATAACTAGCAGGTGATTGCGGATCTTTATTTTTTTTCAAAACTGGCAGAACTTTAGCTTGTTTCCATATAGACGGAAAGTACGCGAGATTGATCAAATTATTAAACAACACTACCAATTTTTGGACAATTACTCCAGGTAAGTGTTTGAGTGCAATCGACGGGATGCCATCAATTCCTGAAGAGGACTTATTGGGAAGGTTCTTGAGTGTTTTTTCCAGCTTGGTGTAGTTCACGAATGGCTGAAAGTCGCCCGATAATCGCAACGGTTCACTGGCCCTGTTGCGTTCGGAGAAGGCAACCAGGGCACAGTTCCGTGCCCTATTTAAAGCATGTTCCTTACGTAGAGATAAAGCCCCGCTATCCACGATTTCTTTCAGCCTGGATCTCTGATTCAAGTTCCTAGGCGTATTTATTTTTTCAAAATATGCTCCTACAGCATTTAAGATGCCAGTCTGAGTGGTAACAATTCGCGAGTTGTCCTTTATACAGGAGTTCTCTGCATTGAGCCCGCTCCTAGCGATAATGTCAGTCTCGTCCTCATTAATTACCAAGCTATTGATAGCAGTTAGCTTTTTGGGTCTAAAGATTGCATTAATTTTGGGAAAAAAGGATTCGGGCTGTTTGTGAGTAATCTTATTCAGGGTTTTCCTCCAATGTCTCTCTATTGACTTCAAAAGCTAGGACGCTAACCGCTCGGCCGCGGCCGCTACTTCTTCACAGCCGTAACGCAAGGGAATATAAGGACGCATCGAACTTCTTTTGCGATTTTCTCGAAAACGTTTGAGTGGTTGCGACAACGTTGAGGTTGTAAATGTTGTCCTAGTGGACTACTATAAGTGTTTGAAGTTTGAAGTTTGAAGAAAAACTGTGATCCGAATGTTGTACGGAGCCCTTGTAAGAAAATTCTGACATGTTCGTAGTGTAGCTGAACATGCCTGAGAATTTTTTCAGATTTTTCCCTTCCAAATGCGTCCGTATGTACTGTGTACGTGTATACAGGGTGAGTGTCCTAACATGACGACCTCAAATAACTCGTAAGATGTTCGTCGTACGAAAAAATGTTTCATACACAAGTTTCAGTGTTTAAGAGGGCCGCCATACTGGTGCACGTTATTCTTTTGCTGGTGGAGGCGCTGAAGCTACGCTAAGGTCACCGCCAATTTTTTAAATAGACCGGTATATTTTTGCTTCCGTATCATGATAGAGAATCTTGAAACGAATTCAACGACCTATAACACAAAGACATTGAAGGTCATATAAAGGCGATAATACTTACGGTTTTTGTAATAGATTATAGAAGTTATAATTTAAAAACGCAACTAATAACTACTACGATTTCTTTTCTTAAGGACAAACTTATGATCTAAAACTCAAGGAAAGGTTCAAAGAAAAGCAATTTCACAAAAAATATTTTTTTGTCTTCCTCTTTATTTCAACATTATTTTTTTCCCAACTGACAAGATTCGTTATTCAAGCAATCAAACTTACAACTACCTGGGATAGAAGGAAGAACTTATAAAAAAAGGAGATTACGATTAAAACACTGTATCCTTACTAGGTAATCCTCCACCACCTCTTTTTCAAAGTGACCATGTACNNNNTTGTAAATACGAAAATCGAATCGGCTTTTAGACAGACATTTGCTCATATTATTTACAGACAACGTGCAAAGAATGAAGGGCTGCAAAGCATAAATGTAGATGCACGTGGACAATTTAGCTTGTCAGAAGATAGTACTCGTGAAGATCGTTGTGTGGTAGATGAAATGGAAATTATTGAAGAAATCGTGGAAGAAAATGAAATGATTGAAGAAAGTAACGTATCAGAAGATGGTTCCAGCAAAATCCTTGAAAGCACATCTACCGTCATGGATTACGAAATTATTGAAGAAATTTTAGAAGACATTGACTCGCATCAAAATGAAGAAAAGGACATTTTCGACGATTGCTCGAATAGGAATGAAAATGATCAACTTAACGATGAAGAGATGATTGAAGAAAATGTGGAAGACGATTGGGTGATGGAAAGAGAAATATCAGGACAGCATGAGTCAGTAATTTCAGATGGATTGGACTTCGTCGATTTTGCCCATGTTTTCGAGAAAATTAAAAATCTAGGAAAACATTCAAATATAAAATGTGGCATCGAACATTTTAAAATAATTGGCTTTAGAAGACACGGACTCGAGAAAGTGTATACCGTACAATGCCAGATGTGCAATCATGAAGAGCGAATTCCGTGTCTTCCGAAAAATGATGACATTCTGGACATCAATCGTAGTGCAGTTTCGGCAACGATGCTGACAGGCGGCGGATACAATCAACTGGAACAGTTACTTACTGGCATGAACGTATCATGCATGTCGAAGAAAATGTATGAAAAATGCCAGGAAGAAATAATTGATGGATTCGAATTGGCCGCACAAAAGGAAATGGAAGATGCTGGCCACCAAGAGAAAGAAATGGCAATTGCACGGGGCGACGTACTTCCCGGATCTAATATACCATGCATCGCAGTTGTTGCAGATGGCAGCTGGATGAAAAGATCTTACCGCGGCGGAGACTATAATTCGCTTTCTGGTGTAGGAGCCATTGTCGGTTATCATACCAAAAAGGTATTATATATCGGCGTGAAGAATAAATTCTGCATGATATGTCAAATAGCAGCTAAGAAGAAAGAAGAACCACATGAGCATCGATGCTTCAAAAACTGGGGCCGTAATCAGAGTTCGGGTGGAATGGAAAGTGCTGCTATAGTCGAAGGATTCAAATGCAGCATACAAATGCATGGCCTAATATATTCCATGTTAGTTGCCGATGGGGACAGCAGTGTGTATAAAAGAATATTGGACAATGATCCCTATAAAGATTACACTGTGCATGTGCGAAAAATTGAATGCACTAATCACCTTCTACGCAATTTCAGTAGGAAAATAAACGAGATTGCTGCAAAAGGTCGGTACAAGGATTTGAGAAATATTATAAAACAGAATGCCCTTCGTCTGCGTACAGGTGTAAAGAAAGCTGCCGAATATCGGTTCAAAGAGAAAGTACGACTTGTGGAACAAATAAGAAACTTGAAAATGGATTTGAAAAATGTGCCAAGTCACGTCTTCGGAGAACACAAGGAATGTGAAAAGTTAGCGTACTTCTGCAAAAAATATTCAGGTGAAACCGAAGTCGATTATATTCCGCAGCTCAAGGAGACTGGTATTTATCAGGCCATTGAGGAAGCAATGCAACCACTTTTCGCCCACGCAGAAAGCTTATTGTATACACTAAATAATAATGCCGTAGAAAGCTTTAACAATATAATTGCTAAATTCATCGGAGGTAAACGTATAAACTTTGGACGAAAGGGATTCTATCAAGGTAGAGTGTCCGCTGCTGTAGTTGAATTCAATTCAAAAGAAGCCCTAAGTAGATTGAATGTTGCAGTGGACAAGGAACCGACAGTCCTTGAAAGAAAAGTAGAAAAACGGCAGAAACATGCAGCAGAAATTACCAAGAAACATAAAGAAGCCAAAGCGTCATCATCACGTTATGAAAAACAATCATGCGATAAAGATTACGGTCCTAGTGCAGAAAAGCCAGATATGGGAGAGGCAATGTTCCTTTCTGAGAGCGAAAGGCACATGGCGGTACTTCGCGAGAGGCAAGCGATACGCCATAAAATTGAAGAAGAAACTCGCGATCAAGTGAACAGCGAGAAGTGGATCGCGTATCGTAGGAAATTACTGACTGCATCGAATTTTGGAAAAATATACAGATTACGAAAAGATACGCCGCGAGCAAATATATTAAAGAGTATATTGTGTCCAAAAATACAAAATTTACGTGCCTTGGAATACGGAAGGAAGAACGAGGCGAAGGCTTTAAATAATTAGAAGAAGAAATGGGAAGAGCTGTTCTACCGTGTGGACTCTTCATCGATGCGGTTATTCCTTATTTAGGTGCAACCCCGGACGCATTAATGGAAAATGATACGATCGTGGAAGTGAAATGTCCAGAATCGGCGAAGGAATTATCACCGTCCGAGGCAATAGAGCAGCTTCCTGCCATACGACGAATTTTTCGAAGCGATGAAATGAATCAAAAGCATTATTATTATTATCAAGTCCAAGGTCAATTGCACATTACGAACAGGCAAAATGCTTTATTCTGCTTGTGGACACCAAAAGGAATGAAAATCACGAAAGTGGAAAGGGACGACAATTTCTGGGCAACAGAGATGGAAGACAGATTGAGAAGTTTTTATGAGGACTGCATGCTGCCAGAAATTGTTGACAGCAGATTCAACAGAGGCCAGCCGATTAGAGAGCCTCGATACATAAAGGACAAAAATGGTGGAAAAGAAAACACAGGAAATGACAATTTATGAGCGAATGCCACAATTGCACCGACGGGTGCAAATCAGCGCATATGAAGAGCTGTACCATGGCGAGTTGCGACTGCACTTGCAACTGCAAGTGCAATCAGCATACGAAGAGCTGTCGAATGCCACAAATGGCAATCGAATGTCGCAATTGCACCGACGGGTGCAAATCAGCGCATATGAAGAGCTGTGCCATGGCGAGTTGCGACTGCACTTGCAACTGCAAGTGCAATCAGCATACGAAGAGCTGTCGAATGCCACAAGTGGCAATCGAATGTCGCAATTGCACCGACGGGTGCAAATCAGCGCATATGAAGAGCTGTGCCATGGCAAGTTGCGACTGCACTTGCAACTGCAAGTGCAATCAGCATACGAAGAGCTGTCGAATGCCACAAGTGGCAATCGAATGTCGCAATTGCACCGACGGGTGCAAATCAGCGCATATGAAGAGCTGTGCCATGGCGAGTTGCGACTGCACTTGCAACTGCAAGTGCAATCAGCATACGAAGAGCTGTCGAATGCCACAAGTGGCAATCGAATGTCGCAATTGCACCGACGGGTGCAAATCAGCGCATATGAAGAGCTGTGCCATGGCAAGTTGATATTCTTTTCAGTACACAAGGAAAAATGAGAAGGAGAAGGAGATGATACAGGCGCAAGAGACGGAGAAGGTGCGCAGATTGAGGAGGAACAGAATATTATCTCGGTATCCTGGTCTTATAATTGAAATTACAACAATATTTTCGTAAGTGAAAAGAAAAACGAAATTTCATTAGCTTATAAATGTATTATACCGTTTTCGTGTACATTGACTAATCAATCTCTTGGATGTTTTGTTTACAGTGATCGTCATTAGGAGTTAGTCGCAGTGACCAAGATCACGGATGAAGTGAAATTCAAGAAGAGGAACATTCAAATATGAATTAGAAAATGTAATCAATTAGTAAAAAATAAAAAAAAAAACAACAACAAAAATGGGTTCTGCAATGTACAGATTACTAGTCTTTCTCGCTGTCCGTTCGTAAACTCGGCACTCGTATCAAAATTGCTTTACATTTTTCGGAATGATTCGCTAAACAACGAGTCAAGTAACCGATCGGCAACGCGCAAGACTGGTGATCAGCAGGCTGTTCATATTTCTATGTACATATTTTTTTCATATTATTTTATGTACATATATTTTCTAAATAAGTGTAAAATTCACGAAATGTGCGTCAATTAAATTATTTTTTAAATTCAAAGTGCATTGATGCGGATGATTCATCCAAGTCGGCATAGGGTAGACGTTTCATTCGTAGGCACTTTTATCCCAGATACCGACAGAATATTCTATTATTATATTATATATTTATCATAATATCATCAACATATGCATTTTGAATTTATAACCATTTGACGCACATTTCATTAATTTTACGAAATAAATTATATATATACATATATATATATATGTATATATA